TTGGTGGTCAGAGGATGAATTCCATAAAACCTTGAATTGTCTTAGGAGCAAGTTAAAGTGTGCAAGTGTTGTGATTTTTTTTTAGTTACAGCATAGGGACTGCTTACTTGGTTTAAAATGCTTTTTAGCATTAGCTTTATACATGCTTGTGAAACAAAACCATTGAGATCTCCCATACAGATGCCATCACTGTACACAGTGTGTTATTATATAATAAATTAGATACCACTGGTAGAGTAAAAATAACTATTGTGAAGTACATTTTCCTGTCATATTATGCTTCTTTTTGTATGTCTGGCATTTTTTTTTCCACTTAATGGCTTCTTTCACAAAATCCACAGGGATTTAGCAACAAACAACTAAATTGTAACAAGTTTTATACTTCTGTCCCGAAAGAGGTCAAGATATGCAGAAAAGAATCATCTGAAAAATACAGAAGAGGAGCGTGTATGGTTTGTGCACAGGAATCATAGAATTGTCAGGGTTGGAAGGGACCTTAAAGATCATCTAGTTCCAGCCTCCCCGCCACTAGATCATCTAGTTCCAACCCCCACTAGATCAGTCTGCCCAGAGCCCCATCCAGCCTGGCATTGAACACTTCCAGGGATGGGGCTTCCACCACCTCTCTGGGCAACCTGTGCCAGTGTCTCACCACCCTCATGATGCAGAACTTCTTCCTCACGTCCAATCTGAACCGATCCGTCTCTAGCTTCAATCCATTCCCCCTAGTCCTGTCACTACCCGACATCCTAAAAAGCCCCTCACCAGCTTTCTTGTAGCCCCCTTGAGATACCGGGAGGCTACAATAAGGTCTCCTCTGATCTGTTTCATTTCATTAACCAGTTATGTATGTGGTTTGATCTGTATCAGCCATAGCATTGGAAATGCTTTCAATATGCAAGAGTGCTGGCAGAGTTGGTAGAGCTCAGGTTTAACACTACCCCCAGGTATACCATTTTCCCCTTTCAGTGAGTAACTACTGTAGAGCAGATAGCACTTCCTAGCCTATTTTGTGGTAGGGACGACTATTTTCTTATAAATTCATTGCAAGGGTTAGGTCAATTCAATCAGTCAGTAGTTAATATCAAATTTTCTTGCTCTTCCACTTGCTCTACAAAATGTTGGATGGGAAGACATTAATTTTTTTTTTTTTAATTTATGATTTGTAGGTTTCTTTGTAGTTTCTCTTTCTCTCTGAAAATAATGTAACTTGGGTTTTTGTCGTTTTTTGGGGGGAGGAAGGAGAGTGCAGAAGGATTAGAAGGTTATAGAGTGAGCCCAGTTCACCTAGCTATATAATGAGTTTCACAGTGATCTGGTAAAAATGATAGGTTTCTTGCTTTGGGTTGGTTGTGGGGGTTGGTTTCTTTGATTTTTTTTTTTTCCCCCCAATTCTTACCTGGATTTTTGAGAAGCTTTCTCTGTTTCATCCCTGCTTACTCTGACTCATTTCTGCAGAGTCTACTGGTTTATGCAGGAAGGTTGGTTGGTTCAGAAGGCACACAGACACGCAGGCACAAGCTGCTGCTCTACAATTTTAGCCTGCCTGCAGTAGCAAAATGAGGTGAATGACAAGTTGAAAAGCAGAACTTCTCTGCAAAAGGAATGTGGAGACCTGCTGGGTAGTAATAGTACTAATATTGATCAGGCTTAGGGCACCCTTAACTACGAGGGACAACACTAAAGCAATTGGTCTCTTTCTGTCTTCCCCATTCTTCTAGGCTCTATGATTATCTTTAATACTGCCCTTTTATCTCACCCGTGTCCTCATCATCTATAAAATGTGTTGGATATGTATTATTTTATTTCTCTCTCTTTACCCTAAAATCAATTCTATGAGATCTGAAGGTTGATTCCCTTTTGTGACCCACATTGAGCACTTACGATCTGCATTCATACCACGAGTGCTCTGCTTGACATCTTATGTGTGTGCTCTTGGGCGACGGTGTCACACGTCCACTCTTTCTACTGCTATGCTTCACAATGTTCAGATGTCCCCCGAAACTGATCCAAGCAGTGCCCCAACATTATCAAACCCAAGTCAGTCCTGACCTGTATCCTGGCTGACCCCAAGTTTGTTTAACATGTACCTAGAGGCAGACCATAGGGCTAACGCCAGGTGTTACGTTGTGCAGAGCTATACATTTCTCTAGAAACAGGATATTAAGAATTCAGCCAGGCTGCAGTTAATGTGACTCCAGAGTGAATGCTGGGAAGTGGTTTGCTGCAGAGAAATGTTTAACAAGTACAAGCTCATGTGGTTAAAAGAGGATGAGCAGCCGGAGCACATGGGCTCTGTTCACAGCTCTGCTGCTGGAACAGACAGCTCAGGCAGGCAGCCGCAGCCTTGCCTCAGCTGCATCTTGCACTTTCCTTGCAAAGTTACCAGTCTTTTCCCTTCTAAAAGAACTCGCCTTGATCCGTTTGTAGAAGAGACTGTATGAACAAAAAAAAATCTAATCATCCATTTATTTATCAAATTACTTTTTGTGAATTAAATGGACTTTACCAATGCACAGCCAGAGACGTCGGCGAACTTAAATCCACCGCTGCAAAACATGTAATGCCTCTCATTGCTGAAAGGGATATTTCCTGTTAAGACTGCACATTTTGAAGGGAGCCCGTTTGGTGGGATGTTAGCACTTCCTATGCTATAAATAGACCAGAGGAGTATCACTTTCAGTCTCAAAGGAATACACTTCTGACTTCTTGAGGGAAGTAACAGTATCTCTGGCAGGATTCTCAGGGAGTTTTATACTTGCTGATGATGTCTCTCTCATTAATGAATGAGCGTGCTTGTTGCAGCACATAGATATTTGGGGAGCTATCAGTAGCTTCAGAGGCACGACACTGTGGCTAAGGTCAGAGAGGTCTTTGCAGCTTCAGATTGCTAGGTGGGCAAAAAAGGAAATTGAGAAACAATGTGGCAGACCATAGGTTGACTGTTCAATGGATGGCATTTAACTAGGAGGGGAAGTACTGGTTTATTCATAGATTTCCTGCTATGTTGGAAGTAAGGGTGATTCAGCAAAAGGGGTTCCTTGGGGACAGAGATCGAGAGGTGACCTTTCAAGCTGCAGCTTCTTCCTCATTGTGCAGCTTGCATGTGCTACGTCTTCCCTATTTCTGAGCCCTGCTGCTGCTGTTCTAAGACAGAATCTAGTATAGGAAGTCTAGATAATTGAATATGCTGGCTCGCTTGCTCTTTTTTACAAGTTTTTTAAAAAATTAAATTAATCTTTTGTGTTCAGCATTTTGTTTGTCTGATTGTACGAGCTGAGAAGCTGCGTGTGTAAATGAAAATAACAGAGCTGGGAATTTGGTTGACTTTGAGCTTGAATGAGAATGGTTTTTTTAAATACTGGGAAAGGGAAAATAAAATCCCAGCCCCTGATCCCACTCAGATTTAGAGATAAAAACATAAAGAAGACAGGCAGCTAATACATGTTTGTTATTGTGCCTCTGCCATGCTTCAGGGATTTTGCTGTGTACTGAAAGAAGTTCCTTCTCTATCATGTGTGATAAAGAGTTCTGCAGACATCACATAGCACCTGCTGAAAAAAATTTAAATTAAATGATAGTTGGAACAAGAAGGAGGACAAATGAGTGGATGCTGTGACAGAATTCAGCTGTTTTTGGAGCATCCAAAAAAAGAAGCTGAAATTTTGAGACTGATACTGCTAATTTTTGAGTACTAAGGAGAGTTAGAGACCATCTGAGAGGAGATGCATAACTTCAGAACAAGAAGTAGGAAAGAGAGCTGCACCAGTAGAAGGTAGCAGAGAGCTGGGCTTCAGGGACTTACTTGATTATTTATGCCTGGCATGACAGGCATATTGTTTTTTCCAGTTATTAACTGCTCAGTTGAAGAAAATGCATCTGCTATGTCTGCCAGTGTATTTGCAACTAAAGGGCTTTGGAAAAAAATTAATCTCTGCTCTCTGATTTATTGGTTCCCGACTTTGGTCCACAGAAATAATGATCTGCAAGGTAACTTTATGTGATCTTAGCCAGTCTTCAGAGTAGTGCTGCACAGTAAATCATGTAGTATTTTATTACAAAGAGTTAAAGGTTAAAGGCTTATGAGGCTGAGCAGCAGTGTGCGAGTACTGCTACTCGAGTGGAACGAGAGGAAAGCTGCACTAGTTGGAGGAGACATGGGAGGTTGGGCAGCCCCCTTTGCTCCCTGAGAACAGTGACCGTAACCCTGAGGTTACAGTTCCTGTGTCTTGAAGCGAATTTTCTAACTTACTTCGTGTTTCTCCTGCAACAGGATCTCCTAGCCCAGAGTTACTCTTTTATAAAGCTCCGTCTTGTTCTGTTTTTCCACTGCTTGCTAAATGTACTTATCTGTACAGAGGCACATAGGCATATAATTTGGTCTCGTGGGAAGATCCATTTTCCCATCACAGGTTACAGTTCCTGTGTCTTGAAGCGAATTTTCTAACTTACTTGGTGTTTCTCCTGCAACAGGATCTCCTAGCCCAGAGTTACTCTTTTATAAAGCTCCGTCTTGTTCTGTTTTTCCACTGCTTGCTAAATGTACTTATCTGTACAGAGGCACATAGGCATATAATTTGGTCTCGTGGGAAGATCCATTTTCCCATCACTGGCAGACTACAGTCATTTTCCATCCATTTTGCTTTCTAAAAGCTACTCTCTTCTCTCTCCTTCACCAGTTACCTCACTAACATGGCTACCATTTCCTCACTTTTTTTTTTTTCATTAGGCGAATCAAGTGTTTGGGCAGTGGGCTTTAACAGCATCATCCAGACGTGGGTACAAAACGCAGTGACGAGGGAGAGAATTAATCACCGCACTAAAATGATTAATGTTTTGGTTTAATCATTTTGCATCCCACCATTGCATTTCAACTAACATGGTTTCTGTCTTTGACCTACATGCTTCAACTGTTCAAGTTTTTGCCACACACTGTCATAATCACTAACAACTACTTGGGTTTGAAGGTAATTTTGTTTATTTTCTGGTTCATGCTTCAGGAAAAATTAAAACTTGATGCTGAGAGGGAAAAACTAGAGAGGCTTCAGGAGCTTTACTCCGAGCAGAAGACGCAGCTTGATAATTGCCCTGAGTCCATGAGGGAACAATTACAGCAGCAGCTGAAGAGGGTCAGTAGCAAGTTTCAAGATTGCACTAACTTCTTTTTCTTGATTTTTTTTGTTGATTTTTTTTTTTAAGAGTGAAGTGTGACGTATTCTTTTTCAAGTATCCAGTGCCTGAACGTATTTGCAACTTATAATTGTTAATAGTCACGAGGGTTATGTTGTTTTGTGCAATGCTTGTAATAGCTAATGTGCATGGCATCAAATGAGTGTAAAATGGGCAGATTAGAAATTGTTTTGTGTTGAATATTTTTAAAGCTTTGGGCTGCCTGCCTGTAATTAGCACCTTAGGCCTGCTGGTTTTTGTGGAAGCTGTTGTGATGTTTAGATGGGTGGTGGAGCATCGTTCTTCACCTGTGTGAGCCAAGGCAGGAATTGAACTCTGGTCAGTGGCATCAGGCATTTTAGCAGCACTTTCCTGCCACTGTTGTTTGGTACTGTTGTGTTCTCCTCTTTTTTTTCAGTACGTAACTTAGCTGTTAGCCTGAACTTTGCTTTGAAAAATTTGGCAATCATAGAATCACAGAACAGTTTGGGTTGGAAGGGACCTTAAAGATCATCTGGTTCCAACCCCCCTGCCATGGGCAGGGACACCTCCCACCAGACCAGGTTGCTCAAAGCCCCATCCAGCCTGGCCTTGACACTTCCAGGGAGGGGGCTGCCACAACTGCTCTGGGCAACCTGTTACAGTGTCTCTCTGTTTTTTTCTTCAATGGTTGCACATTGGTGCCTTTGTGTAAAGTCTAATTGCAACTTCATTTTATTCCTTTGTAACCAAAAAAGCTACAACCTTGTATAGTTATTTTCTGTGGAAAGATTTTAGTATTCATTAATGATAAATGGGTTCTACAGCATATAATTAGCTTTAATGAGGGGGAAATAATTTTCAAATCATCAGTATGGCAAGCTCAAGAGGCCACCTGAAAGTCAAACTTGATTTTTTTCTAGCTTGAGTGTTTATGTCAGGAGTATGGGCTGTAATAGCAGTGACCAAAAAGAGACTTTTTTGCTTCATAGGAAATAGTCTTTAGTTTAGATTTTGCAGAATTCTATTTTATTTTTTAAAAAGAGCAAGAAGTTAGAAATTCCAGCTTTGGAAATATTGATCTTAAATTCTTCTGTAGTAACTGAAAAGCTTGCTGGCTCTGAGACACCTAAGTTACCTTAAAAAAAAAAAAGAAAAGAAAAGAAGGGGCAGTATTATATAATATCTCATATATATTTAAAGGAATGGAAGCCTTTCTTGTACAGTCACATACTTTAAGGTATTAATTCATGAGGAGTTGCAGTCTCTTGTTGCTGTGGGATGGTGGTAAATTCTTTTTCATTAATGACCAAGAAGAGGTTTCTAGAAGCTTGTGTGGTTGGTTTTTTATTTTTTTTTGTTCCTTCCAAGTTGATTTAATAACAATTTTGGATTTGAAAGTGGGAAAAAACTTGGAATTTGAGGGTGCAGATAGTACTATTATGTGTCTGTCCAGGCCAATTTTAGTGAAAATTAGCTGTGGGGGCTGTCATTGAAGTGGTAGAAGTTATCACTGAATCAGTGCACAGTAGCTCTCAAACAAACCTCAAGTGTGAGAGCAGTTATGAAATTGCTGTAAGTATTGTACTCAAAAGAGAGAAAATATCTTCTTCCCTGAGAATAAGCCCAGTAGAAGATTAAATACCTGAGTCTGCAGTGAGCTATGATGTGCTACTTTACTGCCAACCCGGAAGGTGTGAAGGTGATGAATTCCCTTACTGCTTCATCTCTGGGACTTCAATAACTTCGTAGCTTGTGCCCAGGGGAGGGGGCAGCCAATCTGTCTGTAGCAGCTGGCTGTGGGCTGGGGCTGGACTTTGGGCTGGGGCTGCCAGTGGGCAGCTGGCACGCTCTGCTTGCTTCCTGGTGTCCATAGTGAATTCAGGCTCTCCTTGATGGGCAGGGCGGACACTTCTTCAGAGCCTGCTGAAACCTGAGGGCTTGAGGAAGGCGCTGAGGAAATGCCTTGATCTTCCTGATGGCTTATTTGGAATTAATTAGCAGGCTTCATCCTTCACTGTTAGTGTGAAAGCACCAAAGCATGCTTGTTCTCATGTGCGTGGATTTGTAGAGCTACGTGTAAATGGAGAAAAGAATAGATGCCTGGAATCCTGCAGAGATCTGAAGACACTGTCCATTGCTAGGAAATGTCTTACTCATCAGATAAATTTCTACTAATTTTTACAGGTGATGTGGGCCCATGGAGCTCACCACCTGCTGAAGTAAGGGCCAGATTCTCTCTCACTGAATTTTCTCTGGTGGCATTACCAAAATATTAGATATGCAGAAGAAATCTATGGTTTAGAAATGCAATGTGGAAACATTGTGTCTGCTGTTTGTCAGCAGATTATAGATTACAATATTCTAAAGTCATTTGTTTTAATAAAATGGAGGGAGTACACTTGCTACTTGGTTCCAGAAGCCATTACCTTCAGCCAGAACAATTGTCTTCCTACAAATTCTACGCTGCTGAGTAGGACCCTTGCGAAGGTTATGGCAAGAACTCTGTGGGCACATCTTAGAGACCGATCTTGTGCCCCTGACACTGTGCCCCATCCCATAGGTAGCCCAGGCTCTTGGTCCCTATGGGCTTGCCTGGCTGGTGATCTTGCCACTGTGTGCTTGCAACCACTGACAGAGCTAAGCTGCTGCCACTTACCCTTTGGAAGGGTTCTAATTTGAAAACAGACTTAGTTTCAAATTAGGTACATTTATCTTTCCCTGGTGGACACGGTGGTACAGAGTGTGGCGAAATCCTTGTTCCATAGCACGTCTCGCCAAGAATATAGTGCTTTGTGAGCTCAAATGGCTACCAGTTGCCTTTCTGGCTATGGCTATTGGTTGTCTTCTCTGAAGTCTATTCTTCTGCCTCAGTAGCAATTAACGTGGTACGATAATAGGCTGAATTTGTTGATTTTCATGGCCCAGGCAAAGCCTTTCTCTCTGTTTTGAGTACTGAAGGTGGCTGACTGCTTTGAATGAAGCATTTCTGCACTGTAGGTAACCACTTTCTTGTAATTGTTAGCCCACGCCTTTGCTTTTAATCGCTTCACTGTCTCCTACAAGTTAAAGGCACATCTTTGGAGAGAGATGAGAAGTTGTTGGTATTTCATATAGTGACTTAGATTCTTCAGTTTCTACTGCATCCCCTCTCTCTCCCTGGTACACTGGAAGCTGGGTTTGAATGCTTTTATAGAGACCTATCTGCTTTTCTCAGTCACTAACCTCTCCCCCAGGTTGAAATAAGAAAAGCAGTAAGTCTGCGTTTCTCCTAAATGATAAATTGTTTACTGGGTGTAGGTTATAATGTGTAACACTGTGCCTATTTTAGAGACACTTAGCATAATGCTGCGATTATTAAGAACACCCTTTTCTTCAGAACTCGGGAACTTATAAGTAAGAATTTATGTTATGAATACACAGATGTTACAGGAGAAAGATTAGCATTCAGTTCTTGTGCTGCAAAGCACCATTTCACCTCATCATCCCTGAGCGGAAGGCGGGTGGGCAGCCAGTCCTTGACTGTGTGTCTGCACAGGGACCAGTTGTCAGCTCCAGTTCGGTGGTTCCTGATCAGCCTCTGGCTGAACAACTTGGGTGGTTGGACATCACTGCTGAGGTGATGGCAGCGTGCTGATGGCACACAGCTCCACGTGTGTTTTGTCTTACCTGACTGTATATGCCTGTTGATAAAAACAGTGCTGATACTTGGGCTAGCCCTGAAGAAGGAAAAAAGGTGCCTGAAGAAGGAAAAAAAGGTTTTTCTCAGCAGCGGTGGCGCAGACAGTAGAAGTGTTGGAGAAAGCAACATCAAAGCAATGATTAGCCCTATTTGCTGCCTTGTTATGACAGTCAGTCATTAGAAACATTGAGCTGCGGTTTGTACATGCTACAGGAGATAAGTAAATACTTCCTGAGACTGATTTTTTGTGTCTATTTGTTATTATCTCTACTCTGGTGTCAGTGAAAGCATAATATTTGTCTATCTATTTATTGCTTAAGGATGCTGATCTTTTGGACATAGAAAGCAAACACTTTGAAGATTTGGAATTTCAGCAGCTTGAACATGAAAGCAGGTTAGATGAAGAGAAAGAAAATCTGACACAGCAGCTCCTGCGTGAAGTAGCTGAATATCAGCGCAGCATCGTCAGTAGAAAGGTAAAAGCACTAACACTCGATCGGGTGAGCATGCACAACCTGCCTGTCTGTGAGAAATAGCACAAAACTTGTCTCTTTGAAAAAACTTTTGAAGCAGAGTGAAGATGATGACCCAGTAACATCTCACACAGATCAAATCGTGTGCTTCACTAAGAGGAAGTAAATCAGTAAAACTCCATGCCCTGTTTGTATATTTGTATATGAATATTATATCCTTTAATTTGCTACAAAAAGTATCAAGTTGTTTTTAAGAAAGAAAACTTCCGCACTCTGGGAAAAAAAATACAGTTATTTTACATTCTTGCTTGATGTTGAGGTTAAATGATTTTGTTAAAATAATAGAGCACCACATTAAGTACTTAATTTTTAAAATCAATTGTAAAAGTCCTATCTCAACCAAATGAATCCCAGTTTTTCAGTGATCAGAAGTTCCATCTCTGCAGCAGTTCTCTTCAGTATATGGATGCTAGTCACCATATTATCAAAGAATATGTGCAATAGTTCTTTTGCTTTGACTCTTGAATATATTGTCTCTTTGCTGTCTAAAACTTAATTATCTCCTTCAGAGCAGTGAGCTGTCTTGTGAAGCCTGATTTTTCTCCTGCTTCACTCATATGAATGAGTGAACTCTCATGAATAGCTTCCTTGCCACAGGTTGTCTTGTGCTTTGAAAACAAAACACGTAAGTTGTGATTATTTTCTTCTTATATTAGGAAAAGATTTCTGCTCTCAAAAAACAAGCCAATCACATTGTCCAACAAGCACAGAGAGAACAAGATCATTTTGTAAAAGAGAAAAACAACTTAATAATGATGCTGCAAAGGGTAAGTATTTATTGTCTTTCAGATATTTTTAGCGTGTGGTAAAAGAGCATTTCATAGACTAAAAGAAGGCAGAGTACAAGAAAAGCATCAGTTGTGCAGAAGCGAGCAAGTTGGTAATAACATGATAGACATTTGTATCTGTTGACCTTTAAAAAAGAGAAATCTTTTGTAATTAATCAAGAGATTTCCTATGAGAAAGCACTTACGGCATTTGATAATCAAGAGGGCTCTAGAGGTGCCCCCCCCTTCCAGAGGATTCATCCAGAGGTATCCATCTGGGTGCTGAAGCTAGAAGCCTGTGCTCCCTGTGTGGCTGCTGGAACTGGGCACAGAGAGCTCAGATTTTTGGCTTGTAATAGCCTGCACTAGCCCACAAGACGAGCTACGTCACATCAGCCAACATTGGGTTAATAAGAAGCTTGTGTTTTGCTTTTAATCATGAGAGAAATCATGTTTAAGTCATTAAGCAGAATCATTATTTTGAAAACAATAAAGGAAGACCTATTTGATTTGTCTGTGGTTACTAAATAAAATCCTTCATTAGCTTGTCATTTTCTACCTCCATTTTTTTGTCCAGTTCTGCTGTAAATGGATGAAGGTGAAGGTGCAGTTTCTAGCCTTCTAGCCCAACATGCTTCTTTACATGGTTAAGAAAAGGGTTAGCATTTATTTTCACTACATATCTGTTGGTATTTAACATAAAATGTCTGGTTTTAACAGGAAAAAGAGAATCTCTGTAATCTGGAAAAGAAATATTCCATGCTTTCTGGAGGAAAGGGATTTCCTGTCAGTCCCAATAGTCTAAAAGAGGTAAAGAGATTCACTGAGTTTCACTTCACCATAAGTAACTTTTAATAATGCCTCATACAAAAGCACTTTAGCATTTAATGAAGTTCCTATTCATCCGTTTTGGTTTTTTTTGAGATATGAAGTCCTATTCATACTTTTTTTTTTTTCTGAGATATGATGAATTTACTTTGTAAAGCTATTGATGGAAGTCCAAATGCATGGGTGAGCAAAAACAGCTTCTCTTGACATTTTCCCAGATGTGACTGGTATCGTCTTAATCTCTTGCTTTGGAAAAATGATCGGTTTTATGTGTGGATGTGCATGTGTCTAATTTTCTCAAAATAGACAATTAAACCTCATTGAAGTGAAGAAGAATGAGGTCCAGGAATAACCCTGTTCAAGTACAAATGCAGTTCAGCCTTATTTTTGCACTGTAGATTTTATCATTGCCTCCCCTCCCTTTATTCTAAGGCTCTGCAGTGAATCATGGCCACCGTACATTTTGATCTTCTTACAAAGCATTGAGTTGCAAGATACCTGTTGTGCTGTTCATTTAACTGTTTTGAATAGTTAGAGTAAAGGTGTCAAATATTTTTTTTCTGAAAAAAAAAAGTAAATTACTTAGTTTGGGTAGTGCATGATGAGACCCCGAGCTTACCTGCAGCTGTCAGGGCTTCGTAGCTTTGAGGGTGCTGCTTTAAGCCCCAAGGCCCATGAGCCAAGTCAGCATCAGGTAAGCCACGGCCCATTGCAAAGATTCAGTCAGCACGTATGATGTTAGCATTAGCTCCCCATATTTCTCTTGACTTGACTCGATGAATCTGCAAATTGCAGATAAACCTGAAGTTATAAATGGCGAAGCGGAGATCCAGCATTTAAAATACCCTGACAGGTGTCTATGGCTGCTTCATTAACTTCTGCTTAAGAGGGCTGACCAGACTTGTGGGATCTGCTTGTATTGAAGCCCTGAGCAAGGTCTGCCACATCTAATGAGGCAGGTGTCATTCTGGGAAGCTGGGCTCTTGACATCTAACGCCACCACATGTCCTTTCAGCACCTGGGAAATGTGATCTTGCTTATTGGGCCTCCATGTTCCTGGTGAACCCATGTGGTCTCCAGCACATGCGGGTGGGGTTTAGCTCCCTTCCTCACTGCAAGCCATATTGCAGATGCTTAAAACAACTTTCAGGTTGTTTTCTGACCTGGAGATCTGAACTCTCACCAGGATATCTGGCAAGTCTAAGCTTAATTTTTTCTCATTTCGAGATGGATCTGTTTGTGTTCTTACTGGAGAGTGGGTGCTATCTCCGGTTTTGTCTTCATATCAGTATAATGGTTTGTTTAATCACAGATGTTTCAAAATGCAACTACATTAAGTAGGCTCTGTCCTATAAAGGAAATGCCTTTCATCGCTAGGTGTTCTGTTTGTCTCAGTCCAGTTTAATATTTTTCTGACTGTTTTGTCACCTTTAAAGTTCAGGCACCAGTTGGTACACAGGCTTTAGTAGAGTTGCTGCACATAGAAGTTATTTTCACCATGCAGTTACTGATGTGTCAGTCGAGTCTGTGGTCCGTTCCCGGTCCCTCCACATCAAAGCACACATTTCTAATTCTCTTCCATCCATCATGAAGCTTACTCCCTGCATGCACAGCACTAGACAGTAACACAGCCTCACATAAAGAGGCAGGATGCTTATCCCAGTACTTAAAAAAGTGAGGAAAATCAGTACTGTTTAAAAGTTCTGCATTGACGAAACTACTTGGATGCCTAGTCTGACTTGAAACCATTTATTTAATCTAAATTAATAGGGGTCTGAGCCAGTGCTCAGCACAGTAATTTTTTAGTTATTTTTTTAAAATTTTCTTTTAATGCCAGGATGAATCCCCATTGGGTTTATGAGTCTGAACTGAATGTTTTTTGTCTAATGATGGAAGTGCTTTTATCCTCTAAAAATGGCTATGATATTGCCTTCATAGACTTTCCAAGTTTTGGTTGCTGGTATACTGCTACTACAGGATGTTTAAACAAGTTTTATGTTTATTCATATTGGACTCTATTTTACTGTAATATGACCATATGTTTTGAGAGGTAGACTTGAGTATTTTACCCAGTCTCCTTCTCGTTTAATAGTCCATCAAATAACACCAGAGTTAAGATTTGCCTCCTATTTCTAAAGTGCTGTGTTCACAGTATGATACTTAATTTTCCAGAATAGTGCATCTGCTTGAAATAACTGATAAAATACATTGAAAATTACACCGATAGATAGCAAGTATGTGTTTTCATCTTGCCTTCTATGATCGTTGCTATGTTTATGCATTCTTAAAAAGAACAAATACTACAGCAGTCTGTGGCTTCTCTTACCGATTTGCTAAAGTGCACATACTGGCGTATCAGTGTGCTGGTACCGTAATAGCAACATAGCTCCTTTGACACCTTATCAATTTCAAAGCAGCTTAGCATCTTGATTTTAAAAATAAGTGTGTTTCTCATTTTTATGTCATTGCAGTGGTTTATTCTTCCTTCTGCATGGCTTTTTTTTCTATGGATAAGAAGTCAGAATATTTGATTTTCTGTAGTCTGGTATCCTATACACCATGGGTCAGAATCCATATTTTTTTTTTTTACGTAATATTTGTTCAATTAAAACCAAAACCCATGCAATAATTGTATTCTGTCATTATATCTCAAATCTTCCGACATAAATCTTCTCTGTGGGCAGAAGTACACTGATGTCTGTGACTTTCCTCAGTCCATCACCTCCTGTATGTTAAAAAAAAAAAAAAAAAAAAAAGAAAAAGGAGGCAGATGGCGTTAACCTGTTAGCCTCATAGCCATTACAAACAGCATCTTACCTGAGTCTCCTAGTAACACCTAAAAGTTAGAAGTGACTTCCAGACAATGCAAATGGAAGGCGTTGTGTCAGCGTAACTAACAGGATAGCAATGACTTGTCCTTACATAAGTTTTTCCCCAGTTCTGTTAGTCATTTGCTTTACTAAAACTAGCTTAATAGTTAGGCGAGGAACAAATCAGGGTAAGTTATTTTATTCAAACATAGATACACAAAAAATTATGAAACAAAAAGATGGGTAAATAAGATTTGTTCTTTCTCTTTCCCCAATCTGTTTTTCCAAGAGATACATGATTTCTAGAGAGTATTTACATTTTAGTAAAGTCTTCTGGTCACTTAATGTACATTTGCTTTTTGATTACATGATTATTATTTTTTTAATTAAAAGAGCAATTTTCAGAACCCAAGTATACAACATTTGCAATGCTTGGTGATTTTTATATTATTTATGATGAAGTTTTTCAATAATAACAACAAATATTTGGCTGTGTCACTCTAAACTAACTCTCATCATACTGGATACATTAATCACTCTTGCACGTCTTTTGGCTTTTGCTCCTTTTAACTTCTGAATTCCTCCTTTTAGGGCTATATCAGTGTAAGTGAAATTAGTGAGCTGTATGGCAATTCCACGAATATATCCCCTTCCACTCAGCCCCCCACAGATGCTGAAGCAGTTGCCACTGAGCCTTCCACGGCTGTGCTGACGAGCCAGCCACAAAATAAAGAGGTTTGTTTGAGAGACATTTCCCTTTGTTTGCATTGTTCTTTCATGGCTGCCTTTTTATTTTCTTTTTGTTTGGGGTTTTGGGGTTTTGTTGTTTTTTTTTTTTTAATAATTTAACATGTAACAAACTCGCCCTAAGGCAAACTGCTATCTGTCAGTTACCAGGTCTGATAACAGGTTAGTAGTAAAGCTGAAGGAGTGCTCTGGTTCTAAAGTGTCTTTGATGATGTGGATGGCACTTCGAAGGCCAAAAATCCTGAATGCCTCTGACCCAAGCAGCAATAAGTGACGGTCTTTGCCCGTCAAACACTGTCATGTAATGCACCTTTGGTAAATAGTCTGTGGATATGCTGAACGATGACTTGAGCAATGATGCTTAGGTGTTAGTTTTATATGGTTTGTAGCTTTTTTTTTTTTTCTGTGAGGTGACAAAAGTATGTCTTGAGTATTTGTGGGAGTTGGGTAGTTCCTACTTACCTTAGCTATTGCACAGAGTCTGTTCAGTCTGTGTCTTCAAGCTTACTTTCTCTTTTCCTCATTCTTTGTGATGTTTTTGCCTTTGTAACGACATTGGCAAATTTTGAATAAATCCCCTTTTAAAGGAATAACCTTAGGAATGTAAAGCCACCTACCTTTGTGTTGCAATAAGGCAGCAACTGGTTTAGAATCTGGCATTTCTGTGCTGCTTCTCGTAGCATAACATGCCTTGAGAGTTGCAATACAAAACTTCTCCTTTCCTGCTAAATGCTCCAACACAGTGCTAAAACTGCAGCTTGTTATGTGCCGTGCCTTTTGAGCAATTCCAAAAAGAAAACTCTGTGTGTAATTTCTCTTTTTTCTATAAAGCTAAGATCACCTCTCTGTTCTGGATTTGTGTTTCCTCACTCTCTTTCTCCTCGCTCTATTGCTCAACTTCCATCAGTCCATTGGCCTGAGGTCATGGCTACTCATGTAGATCCTATTCCTTTATCTGATACACCTCCACCTCTGCCAGCTAAGAAACACCGCAGGCAACAACAGGTAACAGATTCAAAGTGGATAACTTGGGATTAGTTTGTTTGTTTGTTTATTTCGGTTATGGTGGCCATGAGGTTGATTTTCATGTGGAGATTTTTAGAGTGGTACAATAGATCCTAAGTTGATCGTGCTTGCAGAGTGCTGCTCTCAAAGGCACTGCTCAGTTAAAAATCAACACGATGTATTATAGAATGTCACTAAACAAAAATTCTCCTTATATAAAAAATCCAGAGGCAAATACTGACTTTTAGGAGCTGTTCTGTCAGAAGACTTGCAGCAATAAAGTGCAAGTGGCACATTTGAAATCCTAAAGTAAATTTTCAAATGCATTTGAACAATGACTCTCAAAAGCTGCGTTGGTTTTAAGCCACCAGTTCACTAGAGTAACCTGTAAACAAATGTTTCTTTGTAACTGGATTCCTCTTGTATACTAGACTTGATTTACTTTTTATTTTTTAAGAAAAGTACGGGGACACGTACACAAAATGTGCACATGGATTTAATGTATTTCATTAATCAGCATGATTTTAACGTGGTATTTTTAGAAATCCTGGAAAGCAGTGTGGAGCAGGAGGTACTCTGTGTTTCAGATTTTGTTCGTTCCAATGAAGTTCCCAAACTATCTCCTTCAGTGTATTCCACATAAGCATAACTGAGCAAGTAGGTCAATTCGTGTTGTCAAAACCGTAACAAATTACATTTGAAGCATTTCAGAAATCTGGAAGAGCGAAAGAAGCAGCACAGGGAGTGCCTGTACATGAGTGATACTTTGCCTCGCAAGAAAACGGCTCCCTCTGTATCACCGCACTTCAACAGTGCCACGCTTGGGCGCAGCGTTGCATCTAAGGTACGGAGTTGAACGCTATGAGTAGCCTTGTCCATATAAAACCCGGTATTACATCAGAGGTTAGGCTGGTCAGCACCTTGAACATTATGTAACTCTCCCAAATTCACACCTGGAATTGACTTTGAAAGAACTTTGGGTTTATTAACATACAGGAATTTACGTGAGGCCTTCCATACTCCCAGCCTTCTGACCCCTGGCAATGCTGTGCTGTAGTAGATTATTCATAAATGCAGAGTTGCTTTCTCAAGGATTGTATTTTCAAGCTAGTACAAGTTGATTCTAGAGACATAACAGGTTGTTTTTCTTCCTCTAAATGGGTGTTTATAAAGTAAAAAAGGTCTTTATTTGACACATAGTAAATCAGCAAACTGCAGGAAGGTGGAGATACTACTTTGAAAAATATTCTAGCCTAATAGAGACTGTGCACAACTAAAATATCTGTGGCCGATTGATATGACATAATGCTGATTCCCATGACAAAGCAAGTTATTTTACTATTAGGTGCTGGTACACAAAAAGTACAGAAGTAGTCTTAAACACATACTTACAAAATTTCCTGCAGGGTCATTTACCATTAGGGCAGAGCAACAGCTGTGGCAGCGTCCTTCCTCACTGCTTGGCAACCATGACCAAAGAGTCAGAGTCAAGAAGGATGCACAAAGGTAAGACCTTTTTATTTGCTTCACTTCTGCTTAAAGTCAGTATTCCGTTTTTCAGGAAATAGCAACTGATGTTGCTATAATCAACAGGGCTGTAAATAAACTTACTTGGTGAAAAAAGCAAGCTCTAAACGTAATATTCAAATATTGGCAAAAGAAGATGTTAAGATTGTGACATAGGGACACATGTAGTTTTGAAGTATGTGGTCACCAAATATAATCCAGTAAACAAGAAAAGTATATTGAAAAATACACGTTGGGTTAACTAGGTAATTCCTGTGAGTGATTTTGAGGCAATATATTACAGGTTGCTTTCTTTTTTCTTAATTTTTTTAGTACTTTTTTTCTTTTGTGATGTCTAAAAATTCATTTTCACAGGCGTATATTTTTGCCTGGACAAATTCCCCAGACAGAGATACCTTTGTTGTTTGTCGACTTGAGTCAATACACTTAATTTCTGCTTTAGTGGGATGCATTATTCATAAGTGTCCTATCTTCAAATGGAGTTCCTTGTCAGTGCCATCTGCCAGCTTATTTTCTTTCCAGCATCTGCATCACTGTTATCAATATAAGTGCAAGAGTTCCTGATGTAGAATAGCACTGACTAAGCCTGAGCTGAGATAGGATCCATCCTGTTGTTATGGGACTTGTCAGAGCTAGCAGCTGTCAGAGGTCAAAGAGGACAATGGAGGTCAGCCATACACACCCAGGCCACTCAGTGCAGGGATGGAAGAAGCTTGCTGAGACAGGATTGGGACTTACTATGTTCATTTTATTGAGCTGATCCAGTTGTGACTTGGTTTTGAGCTTCAGTTATGCGGCAGGCCTTCCACCAACCTACCTTCCCTTGAAGTATTTCAAAGATGCCATACAAAGGGAGCTTTGTACTCAGCTTGGAAAGCTGCTGTGGTGTGATGTGTGTGCAAGGATGGAATAGCTTGCAAGTAGGTTCAGAAAATACGTTGTTTCAGTTTGAAAACAGGTAAGGAAGTTTTGGCTAAGAAACTGTTTAAAATTGGAAATATTTCTTTTAAATGGTTGCAAAAGAATGTTGATGTGCAACCTAAAACACAAAGTATAACCAAACCTGATATAGGCAAATGTAAGAGTATTAAAAATAGAGACAAGTTTCTTGTCCTAAGAATGAGAAGAAGGAAGAGAAACCTCACAAACTAAAATTGAATTATGGCCTGACAAAGAAGACAGAAAGGGGAGAATGAGAGGGATATGTTCATCCTGGCCCTTGGTACAGTACTTGTCATATGCGGCAAGGAATTGCATGCTAGACTGCCTGCCATGCTTTTGAAAGATCCAACATGTTGAATAAAAATACTAAATTATGGAGAGGAATTTAATTTTTACTTGGAAAGGGGACAGTTCTAGATGTCCTGTTCTGAAATGTCAGCTTTGCCAAAGGGAAATAATGCTGCTGACGGGTGCTTTACTTGAACTATCAGAGGATTTGCAAAGTAAGAGACATGTCAAAACACAAAGGATATAAGAATGCAAGGACTGTTTGTGACTTGACTACCTCTCTGAGTAGTCAGTGAAGGATTTATTCCTGTTGTGTTCAGCGTGGAGCTACCCAAATTTATCACTGCTGGGAGAGCTTGAAGAGTATAACTGCTTTTTGCCATGTTTCTAGGTAGGGGAAGGCTTCTTTATCTCAGTTACACACCACGGAAGTGTTTGTAGGGCTCTTGCTGTGCTGCAGTGCAGAACTCGGCAAGGACAGAGATGTCCAAGTGGCTGGAGTCACATCCTAGAGTCTTTCTATCCAACTATACAGAAGGGTGAGAGGAACAGTCTTCAGGCACTTTCATTCAGCCTTATCGGCGTAGCCTTAATGAGAAAAAAATGAGTGGGGAAGGGACTGAGTTCAGTTTGGTGTGATTTCTGGTTTCCCTTAGCACCTCATACCCATGCTGAGCACCCAGAGGGAAAACAAGCTTTTCTTCAAAGTCATGGGTAAAGCAAGTGTATTTCTGTGGGGCAGTGAGATTTGTGAAATATTTTGAACGTGTGTAGTGTTTAAGTATACCACGCAGTACAACTGAAATGGAATACTGTTGACAAAATTTTGAAACCTTATGTGGCTTTCACTAAAATCAGTGGGACTTACAGAATCATAGAACAATTTTTGTTGAAAAAAACCTTCAAGATCATCGAGTCCAACCTTTGTCCTAGCCCTATCAACACCACTAAACCACGTCCTGCAGCACAACATCTACCTGTTCTTAAACACCTCCAGGGCTGGCGACTCAATCACCTCCCTGGGCAGCCTGTTCCAGTGGCTGACAGCCCTTTCAGTAAAGAAATTCTTCCTAATATCTAACCTGAACCTCCCCTGGCACAACTTAAAGTCATTTCCCCTTGTCCTATCACTTGCCACTGGCGAGAACAGACCAACGCCCACATTGCTACAACCTCCTTTCAGGTAGCTGTAGAGAGCAAGTCTGTGTAGCTGAGATTAATATCAGCAGACATCCTTAAGTACATAATTGAAAACCAAGTCAAATGTCATGTCGGTGGACATCCTTTTCCTTTATTCCATTGCTTTATGACAAATGTTTATTATATAATAAATGCACTGTATTTCTTACAAAAACATTCTTGAGGTAGAGCAGGTTTGCCATTTTGGGCTAAGTGGATATTTTGGAGGAGCAAGATTTTCTGCCAAAACAGTAGAATTCTACAGATGTATAGATACTGCTTTTACTCATAAATATGTACTCACTTCTGCTCCTGTTTTTCACCTAAAATAGGTGAGGAATAGATAAGAAGTGTTTGCAGCTTGTCATGTGTACTTTGCCGCTGCTTGCTTCCCTTGTGATTCTTTTCCCCGTTGACAGATTTTTCACTCCATCAGTTTTTCTGCATTCAGGGTGATGCTCTGCAAACGCTGTGGGGGTCTTAGGTTGCTGACAGGTTGAGCACACAGCTGCCCTGAGTGCTTCGGGTGTGCTCGGCCCAGGGGAGAGCCAGGGTCTCACGCGTGTAAATGCCACTGCCTGCGCTTGGTTTGGAGTGCTGGCTGTCACGCCATGTCCCACAAACTGCTTTACAAAGAGGATGATGCACTCCTGAAGTGGTACTAGTAGCTTACCGCCTTCCTTGGGGCTTAAAAGCATCGAGCCAACTTCTAGACCAGAAGTGTGTTTGTATAGATCTGAAAACAAGTGTATTCTTCAGTGCCCGGAGGAAGCGGCAGCTCAGATTAAAGATGTTAAAGATGTTATCTGAGAATTATCAGTAAACTAGTAATGGTCTAAAATGAATTTTCTCTAAAATGCTTTCTTTAGTCTTTCTTATTTCAGTGCAAGAAGGCAAACATAAAAGTCTGAGATGAAACATTCGAAGTTAAAAGTTAAGTCAGAAAATGGAGAACAGCCCCCATGTATTTGAACATGGATTTCAGTTACATTTCATAGAATCATAGACTGGCCTAGGCTGGAAGGGACCTTAGAGATCATTTTAATCCAGCCTTCCTGTCACCAGGGATGCCACCATTTTCTTTGTGCAGGAACAAGTAATGTTTGTGAATAAATTTTAGGCTGGTCCCAGTAGGAAATATTTTCATAGATTTTTAAGTACTAAATAGTCTTCCTTACAGGATTACCAAAACTGTGTTTAGTCAGTCATGCGTGTTCAAGAATTGTTCTTCAAAGAAAAAGTCGCTGTCAGTAAGCACAACCCAAGTTAGCAGCAACTTGTAAAACGTTTAAGAGGACACAGCGCTGGGAACAAAACTATTGGGACAGAGAAGTTGGGTGCCAGCAAGATGGTTATTTGTATTCTTTCTAAGCTCTACAGAAAAACAGTATGCTGAAGGCATGGAGTTTATATATGTACAAACTTTTCAAAGCAGCTTGCTTTTTGTTTTCTTCTCTCTCTTATCAAATTCAGGAAAAGCCAGAAAAGGTATGAAAACATCCTTTTACCTGGCTGTATCTGTCATTGCCATGTTTTGGCAAAAGTAACAATTGCATCAGCGCTGTCAAGTAGTTCCCAAAATCTTGGAAAACTTTTAAATAATTGTTAAATAATGATAGCACTTAAATAATTTTTTTTGCCCTGCTGTCAAATAACCTGTCACAACAAAATTTCTGATTAATGCTAATATCTCCAGAGCTACAGCTTTGTGCAGGCCTAATTTTTTGCTTCTTTGCTCATAGCCGCACAAGTAGAGCAGAAAATTTAGAAATCTTTGCAGATCTGTGGGTGACAATGACAAGGTAGACAGACTTGTGCTTCCTACTTTGGTGTGTTTCCATACAAAAATGTATCTTGACATGTTAATGTCAATCTTTTTGAAAAAGATAAAAATTTATAGAAATAAAAGAAAATGTACTGTGATCTTTTCTTATGAAATACTGGAATTTTTTTAACATACTTGACAGTGCCACTTTCAATAACAGCTTTCACCTATAGTTCTGACCTCAGCATAATTTTGTGGCAGTCCATCCATTTTTTGTGATCCTGCAGTAACTCCTTTGAAATATTTTCTTTTAATGATACAGCTTTATGGATATGTGCAATATTGTGTGCATCAATGTGGCTGTTAACAATGTTTACAGTGCTGCAGGGAATTCAAGCCAATGTAACAAGAAACATTTTAGCTCTTCCATCAGCTTAAACTCGGTTGATACAAATCTTGGCTTGTGGGAAACTTCTTGTGAAGTGCTGGATCTTACTAGGAGTCTGATATTTTTAAGTGCATGCCCTATGAGTAGGCACCTGAGCAGTTAAATATATCCTTCAAACAAGAGATTGTGCCTGTGCAAAGTGGGGCTGTAAGGGAGGCAGGCTGTGCCTGTGGTTGTGAGGCTTGTCGGGATGGGCACGCAGCTGGTCCTGAGCTTTGAAGCACTTGTTGTTGCTTTTGGCATGAGGAGAAACTGAGAACGTCGTGTTAGGCTTTGTTTCTGTGCATTAAGTCTCATTTTGTGACTTAACAACTGTTTGCTTCTTGCAGCGTTTAGTTGTGTTTGCATGATTACATAAATTTAACTGATTCTCTATGGAAAGTTGACTTTCCTTTAGGAGACCATTTGTAAAACTGCTGCTTTTCTTTATGCCTTTTAGATGGGTTTATTTTTCAGTGAAATATGAGACACAGAGTTAAGATTTCTGAGTAGGCAAGGTTTTGCAAAGGGCTCAATAGAAAAAGAGGCATTTGCATAACGTTCTTTCAGTAATTTATTTTTTCTCTCTTTCCATAATGAATAATTGATAACCATTTCACAGGAGCAATTAGTCATTCCAAAGGTTTGAGTATGAAAGGTAATTGCTTATCTGCAATAACAGCAGCATTTGCCATAATAATGGGAAAAAACAGAGTGCACGTGTGTGAATGAGTAACACCTGTGTTGTGTGATGCTATTATCTATAACTGCTGAGGTGTGTTTGCATTCTTTTTGTCTCTTACTAATCGATGCAATTGAACTTCTTTTGAAATTTAATGTTCTTTCAAATGGCAAGTGAAGTCCTATTAGTTCCTCAGAAACCAGCTTAAATTGTCCTTAAGAAACCTTTGTACTGTTCAGAGGGAAGAGGAAAAAGGATACTATTTGCCTTGGAAATACTTAAAGGGCATGATTTCCTTAATAACATGCCTTAATTATTCAGCTTCAGTCATGCTTTTCAGATACCTTTTGGAGAATACTACAGCCTTTCCACGGTAAAGCATGGCAAAAAATACCAGACGGTAACATTGTATGCGCAGAGAATGAGAATACGGCAGGAAAATATTCCCACCTTAACCATGCTTTCCTAACATCAGCGCCTTATGGTAGCTAGTAAAAATTATTATCTGAACTTCTCTGCATTTGTCTGCATTTTTCCTGTGTCTGTTTATCTTTAAGATAAGTATTAGTGGCTGCCTTCCTGTACAAATGGTAGGTTTTCACGTAGACTAACAGTCCTTCCTAATCTCCAGTTCTGCCACCAGCTCAGATTTCGGGTCAGGAACATGCGGAGACTATTATAAACTTCACTGAGTATCAGAACTGTGAGAAAGTCTCACTTCTTGCATTAATTGACAGGAAGGATGAGCAGTGCAGTTGCGTCTGTAATCACAAAGATTAAACAAACCTTGAAAGGGCACTGTGAAATAGTTTCAGTGGTTAAAACAAACACTGTCCTTATACTTTCCTCTTCAGCAGGCAAGCTCAACAACTGCTCTGTAAGTCTGTATAAATACTGCTGCATTATTTACAAAGGACAATGGAAACATGAGATAAAAATAATTCTGAAGAAATACTTTTTTAAAGGAGACATAGCCAAACAAAGTTCCCTGTGTTCAAGAAGGAAAGCTTTTCAAAAAGGATTATTTTTGTAAAAAAGTAACAGCATAAAGAGCTTTAATGTTGCATAAGCCTTATTTTCTTGACAGTCACAGAGCTATTCATCTGCTTCAATCATGTAGGGTGAACTGCAGTTTCAAAACCTCTAGACTAGCAAGTATGATGATGTGACAAGTAACCTATGCTATTTCAGCTGAAACTAAAAGCCCAACTTGCAGTTACCAGAAGGCAAAATTCCCCAAACAGACAAAAATTCATCCACGTTCAGTAAAATCCACAAAAGAAGTACCCAAGACCATTGAATATCAGGACGTTTTTTTTTTCTTTAACGTGATCAGTGACAATTCTAGATCCGTGAATCTAGCTGTATTACTTTCCAGATTAAGCCTCATTTTAATTTTAAATTAATTCAAATTATATTTTCATAATACACATGGAAGAATGTATATATAAAGTGTCAGCAATACTAATCTCCATATATTTGTGACCATCATGGATAAAACAGGTATTTAGAGGTTTTATTTCAGTTATAATTAATTTGCAAAATTAACCATAATATTGTAGCACCTTGGGCATGATGCAATTAGGACTGAGATGATGTTCAAAATGCTTATGCAAATAACAGGTTATGTTCAGGTCACAAAATTTCCATGTAAAATAAACGTTTCCTCTGTACTCTGTAGGGTATAACCATCAGCGTATCTGCGAAAACCAAAGGCAGAAGTCTCCTGAATTCTACAGCAGAACAGCATCTGAATCCAATGTGTATTTGAATAGTTTCCATTACCCAGATCGCAGTTACAAGGACCCTGCCTTTGACACATTAAGCTTAGACAGCTCTGACAGTATGGAGACAAGCATATCAGCCTGCTCACCAGATAACATTTCCAGGTAAATTATCTCTTTTTCTGATGTTGTAATGGTCCTAAGGTTATCACAAGAAAAGAGAATATGCACATGTTGATGCTGTGGTAATTTGAATCATAGAATCATAGAATGTGTTGGAATGGAAGCGGTTAACTGGTTAAGAAAATGAAGGTAAGATCACTAGACAGGCGTAATATTTAGTATTTGTGTAGCCCTTCATAATCAGGTTTAACTCTGCATCTCACCTATTTATTTTAAAAAAATATATGGAGAGGCTAAGTGATAATGTTGAAGGCCACAGAGAAATTCGTGTCATTCCTCAACTGAAATTATGAAGTCATCGATACTCTTTTCAGAGTGGGTAATACCTGAACTTCCTTCCCTGATAACTACAGGGGTGGAATTTCCTGTGATAGGAAGTTCCTTGAAGACATCTGTCAGTGATGAAGAACACTTGTTCTGTAAGCCCAGCATGTTCACTTACTACTAGACCCTTACACTGAAACACTTAGGGCTCTACCAGTGGTCTTTTTTGCCCTTTCGTCTCCCTTTTCTGGGTCAGTAAAGATGAAGAGATGACACTAAAAGGCTTAGAGCCTTCGGTTCCTTTTCCAGTCCTCAGGGGCTATCTGCTCAGACACCGCTCCTCAGATAAAAGGGACACCAATGATCTGTATTAAAAGTCCAGCTGGCTCTCAAAACTATGTGCAAACAATTTTCTTCTGACAGCCTGGTTTTAATGACAGTGCTTTCATTTCTGCTCACAGTCCTGCCCCAGCAATTTCTCAAGCCATAAGTCGAGGCTGATAGTTAAGTACAATGCTGTCACGGGATTAAAAATCCCTTGCAGACAGCTTTTTGGGCTAGCATGTTGTGTTTTATTCAGCATCTGTTTCCTGTAACAGTGTATCAGCCCACTGATTTCCTCCTGTAGTCTTTATCAGCGCAGTGTTAAGGGGTTTGGAAAATACCAGTGACATTCATTCTGCTGGCTGGGGTTTTTTTCGTTGTTGTTAGTTGAGTGGGTTTATTTATTTATTTTTAAAGTAAAAACATTAGGACTCAGGTTTTAAGAATTTCTGTTCTGAATAGATGTGCAGACCACGAGTTTCTGGTAGTTGGAGACTAGCAGGCTGGGAATCAACTCTCTGCAGTGAACGAACGTGGCAGTGATATGAAATCTGTGTCTCTGACTTGCTTCTCTAACCATTAGGGAGGAAGATGGCCCATGCCCGAGCCCTGATGGCACTGGTGCTGTTTGTCCTTCTGCCTCTTCTCTAGCTCTTCTGCAGCTTCCAGCCAACACTGGAAGGAAAAACAAAACAACACAAAAAAACCCCAAACCAATTTAAAACCCAGAAAAGTACCCCTAACAACAGATTTTTCAGCTTCTCACAAGGCTAACTTTTGTGAGGGAAGAAAGCAGCGTGGGCTGATTTTGTTGATAAAATATGGAAGATAGGCAGTTAATTTTCCTTGACTAAACTTCCCTAAATCACAGTTAATTCAGATTGATTTAGATGGTGCTTGAGAATATTTTCTAGCCATATCAGACTTTAAAGGGTAACAATTTATGGTGCTTTCTTCTGACATATTTAAAATATAAGTTCTATTTTACCTTGTATAAGGTGAGAAAGACTTTTTTTCCTGGAAATGCATAAAATCTGCATGTGCTCACAGTACAGAAAAAAACCAAACAACTGCTGTAGTAATTCATCATCTCATCATTAAACAAACAGCAGTTGTTCTAGGGTTCATTAGCAACTTATTTTTTTGTGGCTGAGGTGTCAGAGACTATGATTTTCTGCTACATGTTAACTTCTGTGAGCAGGATAAGCAAATCAAGAATTAAAGAATTTAACTAAGCTGAAGTGATATCCAATCTAATATGGGGAAAACTACTGCAATTTAACTATCTTCCAGGTTGCTCAAATGACTTTCAATTTATGGCCCCATTGCTTTTGCTGAAGTTATTTGACCCAGATTCTCTTGGCCCATCAACTGTACATACTTTGGCCAAAATAGACGTAGGCATCTAAGTCAGCACCTTCATTTTTTCCAGACAAATAGATTTCAGATGGTTTATACCTTTTCTGCAAACTTGGGTTAACTGAGGTATGTTATCTTCATATGGTGTTTTATCTTCGTGTGAAACATAGCCCCAGCATCAGATAGAGAAATGTTTTCTGAAGACTGTTGCACTTCTGACAGAAATCTTGGTCTTACAGACATATATATCAGAGGCATGCTGTACACAGATGTTGTCATTACTTTTTCCTTTTATGTGCCCAGGACACCTACTTGGACTACTTCCATTCTACTGTGTCCCTTCACAGCTGGTCCGTATGCTATTAAGTAGCATGAACAAATCTGCCATCTGACACCCATTTCCACTGGAGCGGTCAGATAGTGTTGTCAGTACAATCCCAGATCAAGTTTCTCTCTGTTCTGAACATCCAAATCCATGCTATTTCCTCATGTTGTGCTTTAGTCTAATGGCATTATTAATGGTAATACTTAACAGAAACCGTTTTTCTCGAGCAGTGTAAGATGAAAAATCAAATAGATAGGATGCCATGGAAATGCCACAGTTGAAAATTGAGATGAAACAAAGAAATCATATTGGAGAAAAATGAAAGAGGGACAGGCAGAGGTGATAGCTGTGCTGTGCCGGGCCAGGATCTCTTTGTGATGACCCTTGTTTCTTTGGCTTGCTGGTTCCTTTAACTAGTACATCCTTCCCGACACTACGGTGTCCCTGAGTGGCCCTTATGCATACCTCTTAATCCTCCTTATTTTTATAAAGAAATTTTTGATGATGAGTGAGACACAAAACAAAGACAGTCCACAGCCAGGAAGGCCGGTATATTGAGACGGCTGCTAATGCCAGCACTGAGGATCAGTAGCATGGTCTGTTAGGAGAAGAGGACAGATCACAGGGGACTAGCAAAATGCATTTTTAGGCACTCGTGTCTGCATTTTTCACAACTCTGCATGGGGAGTGTATACCTTGAGAGCGTACCATATGCTCTATACATAATTTTTTGTTAGTGCCTACTACACTGAATTGGATTGTAACACTGTCAGCTCTACTCTTAAACTGTCTAATGTTGGACCATGAAACATGTCTTTAAATACCAAATATTCTTTTAAATAACTGATTTTTTTTTTATATGTGCAGTGCTAGCACTTCAAATGTTGCAAGAATAGAAGAGATGGAGAGACTTCTGAAACAAGCACATGCTGAAAAGACGAGGCTGCTTGAGTCCAGGGTAAGCATAATTTTATGAGTAAAACTAAGGGTGGGTGTGTTAGATAATCCTAAATATAACATTGAACCCTGAAGAGTTTACATCTAACAGAAACTTAAAAAATTGCCTCTCCCCCATTAGTTTAGTCTGGTTTCACCCTTATACTACATTTTTGAGCCTATATGCAATAGCTTCTATCTCAAAGGGTGAATTCATGGCAAAATCCCATCAGAAGCTCTGTCAGCATTGCTCCTACAGCTTTGAGGACCGCTGCTTAAGAACCTTCACTTTTAGTAATATTTGCAATTCTTATTGCAATTATCAGTCCACTTTCCTGGACACATATTTATGCTTGCTTAAGAGGCAAAAAGGAATTTAGTCCTAACTTAGAAATTACATTACCAACTGTAGTTTCACACAGAATTGAAGTTCTGCGTGTGCTGTGGTGTTTAGGAGCGGGAGATGGAAGCTAAAAAACGAGCTCTGGAAGAAGAGAAGCGCCGCAGAGAACAACTGGAGAAAAGATTGGAAGAAGAAACTAGCCAGAGGCAAAAATTAATTGAAAAGGAAGTCAAAATACGTGAGAAACAGAGAGCACAGGTGAGATGCATTGACATGAAATGTTTCTTAAGTACAAGACTTCCCCTTGATATACAGAAGGGAGTAAGTGTATTTCTGTCAAGGGTAAACATAATTGCTTTCAGTTAAATAGATGGATTTAATGTTTCTGAGGTGTAACTGTGCTGCTAAGAGTACATTCAGGTTCTTGGAGTCTAAGACAGATGTCCAAGTGTTCATTTAAATTTAAATGAATCTATTAGCTAAATATCTACACTATCTGTTGAGCACCTTCTATCTAGTTTAGTGTTAATCTTATAAGGTTTGTTAGAGAGTATGGGCAGAGCAGAATTTTTTAACCTGAATAACAGGATTTTTTTTATAAACTATCAGTGTTTGTTTCTTTTCTTTTCTTTCTTTAATACATAAAATATCTTGGAATATCAATTGTCGCTTCCAAATAATTGACTCGGAAAAAGAACAGATAAAGAAGCTTTTCCAGCTCCACATTTACCGTAGAGATGAAATGGTATTTTTTCTAATGTTACTGGGGCTACATATGTGAAACATTAATTTGGATAGTGTTACATCCTGCATCTTCTTGTTAGACTTTAGAGGTAACGAGCTTTTTTTAGGCTTAGAGGTCTTACCTATTTGTTTATTCCACCATAACTAAGAAGATCTATGTGATACTGTCACTGCTAAATCTTTGTTTCATGAGTTAGTATATTTTTTATGAACATTCTGACATAATTTGCCTTTCTAGTTGGTAACACTAAATCAGAATGGTAAGACAACCCCAGAGAAACTTTAAGATGTTTCTGGTTAAATATATTCATTCCTTTGTTTTTATATAAGATAAAATTACTGAATGTTCATTTTTATGTGTAATTTACTTGAATGCCTTCTTTTTTTCTAAGAAATTTTAATAGCAACTCAACTATGGCATAAACAACAATGCAGTGCTTATATCTTTATCCCAAATTGGAGCATGCATGTGTTGTAACAGAATGCCCTGTCAGTTACGGCTAACTGGTAGGTTTGGTAGAGAGAATGAAGACTGAATTGGCAGGAAGACAAAATGTATGGATCACAAATAGCTACAATTTTTTTGTTAACTTTTTCTTTAGTGAGACCAAATTTTTTAAAAATTTTTTTCAGCACTTCCTGACACTTACAAATGTAAACTAGGAGAAGGAACTTCACCTCTGCACTTGCCAAAGCTGGTGTCAGCTCGTATCGTACAGGACCGCAGAATTTTAGAAGGCTGCTAAGAGTTCTTGCGGGCAACACAGCTCCCTTTGCGCCAAGAGGCTCTTGAGAATGCAACGAGGGAAAGCCCCTTCGATTTGTGACTCACACTGGGATTTAACGGGCTGACTTTAGGCAGGGAGCAGATTGGATTCTCCAGGTCACCAACTTCTCTGGAGTCAGCAGGGAGAGAAAGAGAGAGAGAGAGATGCTGCTTTCACAGGACATTCAAGGCACCTAAATTCAGCTTCTGTCCTGGATCGCCCCATGCTATGATGCAGCCTCTGTCTGCCTTGAGTGCAGTGGGAGCCCTGGGAGACTTGTCTTCTGTGCTTAAAAGGAGGGGGAGGGTTTGTGCATAGAGCTTTCGGGAACAGAAATCAAGCATATTCCTTCAGCTGGCAGAGGTCCCCAATCGCTACCTCCTCCTGCTTGTTCTCCCAGCTGGTACTGTGCAGGTTTGATGCAGAGTCTTGAACCGCAGTCAAGAACGAGGCACCGTTTCCTCTGCTGCTTTGCTGTCTCTTGCAGAGGGTGCACTTCAGCTCTCCGCACTGTATTAACGCCTCTTAATTCATTCAAAATAATTCTGTTTTGTTCAAAGCAATCTCTGTGAAGCTAACTAGAGATTACAGTTCCCGCTCATTATTATTTTTTCCTATAATAGTGTGCTCTTATTATTTATAATATACTTTGCATGAAAATCGTTGTAGCAGTAAAATATTAATGAGTGAGACGTGTAGTGAATATCTAGCCTGGAGAAATAAAGGGTCCGATTAACATCATGCCAATGAAGTTCTTACACTTCACCTAAAGCAGCAACATACCTTTACATTTAATTAATGTTTGAATTCTGAAACAACCTTTATGTGTTGTGGCCCCTGTTCTACCAGCTTAGCACTGATTTTACAGAATCACAGAATTGCCCAGATTGGAAAAGACCTTTAAGGTCATGGAGTCCAATCATTAACATAACACTGAGAAGTCCTCAGGGAGCTCCTGTGCCCTAATCTGGCTTTTATAAAGTTATCAAACACTTTGTAAAGTTACAAGTTTTAAGGATTTTTTCTTTCAAAAAAAATGAAGGCTGAAACAAAAGCTTCTTTTTTTTCTTATGTTCATTCTTAGAATCTCTGGGAATTTTGCAGTTATGTCTTTGCAGCAGAGAGTGGTGGAGAAATGAAGACTTCTATCAAAAACAATACGATTTTCTTTTCTTTACTGTAGGCCCGTCCCTTGACTCGCTATTTGCCTATTAGAAAGGAAGACTTTGACCTACGAAGTCACATCGAAACAGCCGGTCACAACATAGAGACCTGTTACCATGTCTCCCTCACGGAGAAGACCTGCCGAGGCTTTCTGATTAAAATGGGAGGAAAAATTAAAACATGGAAAAAACGATGGTTTGTTTTTGACAGAAACAAGAGAACTTTTACTTATTATGCAGGTAGGTTTCAGGATCACTACTAGGGTACATCTGGCCCTCTGCTTTCCTGTCAACCTCAGCTGAGTTATGAGTATGTACTGAGTCCTGAATAAAACTTATATTTTCATTTCATTGGGCGTTTTACACATACACTTAGAGCTTGTGCAATTCCTTCCATATAGTGTTCAATCCTAATGCCAGGTAAGGTAGGAATGAGCATAACAGGCAAAGGGAGTGATAGGAAGGAAATAAAAATGGAAGATCATCAGGTTCCTAGTACACATTAATTTGTTATCTTGGCATGAACCCAGAAATTTGGAATTTAAGAACATATATGTCTCTCTGATTGCTGTGCAATCTACACATAGTTTGACTTTGATGTTTCAGAGGAAGCCAGAAAATTGACTTTCTGTTCTGAATATTTATTATTAGGAGAGGCCAGACATGCGCATATGTAAGATTGTCATTGCTAAGAAGCAGAAGAAAACATCAAGTACAAAAACCACACAAAGAGTCCCATTTCCTTTTATGACATTACTGCTTTCCAGCAATTCATAAGGAGCTTAGAATCAATGGTAGGGTTATATACATTGCTTGATCCATCTTTTTAAAACACATATATGAATTCATTACATTCATTCGTTACATCCCTGAATATTTCTTACTAGTTTGCAGTAATACTGGGAAGAATGTGACAATTTTTTTTTAGTTTGTTCTTAATATCTGGTTTATTGGTTAGCATGGCCTGTAATATACAGTACTGATCCCCATTATTTTTGGTTTTTAGTAGTTATGTTAATAATTAACAGTTTTAGTTTTGAGTGCAGTACAGTTGCCATAATGCGATTTCCATTACCAAAGAAAACTTTTCATAATGTCTCAAGGACTCCAGCTAAAATAGTTTGCATGAGTGAGGATCCGTCTAGATATTTAAATATATAGTAGATTTCTAAAACAAATACTGATGATGTAAATTCAGAGTAATTGAACTCTTAAGTGAATATACTGGTATATTGGTTTAGTTCTGCAATTATACTGAACAAGCCTGATAATTTAGTGCAGCAAATGAAGCAACTGCACTTTGTGACCCAAAACATTCAGAGAACTCCACAGAGACAGTTGCGATGCAAGCTTGTGATGCTTTTATAACTGGGACCCTAAGTGGGGCTTGAAAGCAGAGTGGATCACCGTGTGCTTGTACTGCACAGACAGTGTACTTCATGCAGGGTTGCTTTTAGCTTTGTAAAATAATGCATGCTCTGATGTTGTAATCTTATACCTCTGGACTTCTATTGGTCCCTTGAGGGCTGGCAGGGAGATTCCCAATGCTCTGTCTTTTGGTCTTTGGAATTTCTTTTTGCCATCACAGAAAGCTTTCAAAACCACCTGCAGCTGCTGATAGGTTGTAAGCTGCGTTTCACAAGTGTTCAAAATGACAGCAAGAAGTTGTGCATGACTGCTCAATGATACTAACTTGGGCTCAGAAGGCACCTAATATACCCCTAATATACCCACCTAATACGAATGGGAGGAAGTTTTCCCTTCAGTGTCACATGCAGTTGTGATGCTTCTTAACAGCCTCTGAAATTATTTGAACAATTTCTCTTCCGTTCTGGCAAAGCAGAGGGTACTGTAGATGCTTATGTGCCCTATTCCATTTTCTTGTGAAACTTTATAGTTGTGACTGTTGAGGTGTCAAATTCAGAGTCTGTATCAGAGGTAGCCTAAAATAGCGTAGAACTGACCCCCTGCAAGTGTCTGCTGGTCATCTGAATCCAACCCCCCTGCAGTGAGCAGGGACATCTTTAACTAGATCAGGTTGCTCAGAGCCCCATCAGGCCTGACCCTGAATTCAGGTATTCTTACCTCGGGCGCACTGAAGCAAATGAAGAGTTCCCTTTCATAACAGGGGCAAAGTGCATCCAATTAATTTGGCTTTTACCTTTGGTGTCAGAGTAGGGGAATGCAAACAGATAATTACGAAGTTGGAGCTGGTGCCTAGGAACTTTTAACCTCCTGTAAACTTTTTCATGTGTCAGAGCTTGTAGAAACTTGCCTACAGTCTGCTAACCTCAAACTTGAGTAATAAAGATTATCCTGATACTGAGGGAGATTACTACAAATGGGAAGAAGCATTTCTTAAATAGGTACAAGCACAAATGATGTTCTAATGTAAAGCCTTTGCTATCAAATTGTAATTAAAATTTGCTTATCATAACAGTGTTCCTTTGAAGGCAAACTGTAGGTCTTAGCCTGCAAGCGATGTGAAGCCTGGGTGGTTTTTATGGAATTGGAGGATGGGATGTACCTCAGAGACATCTGTCCTTCTGTTGGCTAACATCAGCCGTAACGTTTAGATGCTTCAGTGAAGGGAGTAAATTGCAAATAGATGAGGAAATTGCAAATAGATGAGGAAATTGCACAAGCTTTATTTCCTTGGAAACCGGGTGGAAAAGAAAACTTATTGAAGTAGGAGATGCATCTCCCAACAAAACCACCCAAGCCAGTAAAAACGTTGAAGATTTCACACGCAGAAGTGTTAATCCAGTCATCTATCTGCTGAACATATATGGAAATTCAAATTAAACTTTTTCTTCTTGAAGTACTGTTCATTTCAACTCTCAAGTCATTCTCTCTTTTCCATTTCAGACAAACACGAAACTAAATTAAAAGGTGTAATATATTTTCAAGCTATTGAAGAAGTCTATTATGATCATCTAAAGAATGCATATAAGGTAAACTTTGTTCTCGTTGTTTTAACTAGGTACCCAAAGTATGGTAACTGCTGTAAAGTCAAAGGCAGAGCTGGCATTATTAGAGTAAAAGAGAAGCAAACAAAAACAAACCCCAAAACCACAAAGCCAGAGTCGAGAAAAAGGAAGATGAAGCCAGCTCAGTGATTAGCACTGGTTTGGGGTTTTTTCCTACTGATGAAAGCAGAGATAAGAGGGTCTACCTGCTAAGTGGGATTTTCTGCAAGAAATTCCTTAGTCCTGTGGTGAGACCACTGAAATCGGGGGTTTTGGCAAATGGAGGGATGCCTCCGTGTGTCTGTCACAGGAAGGGAGTTAACTGCAGCCAGCACCTCGTGGCACCCCCTGCCTCTCATCTGTAATTTAAACGAGCTGTGAACAGGCTGAATATATCCTTGCCACGGATTTGTGAAAACCAAGGGAGTTTTGACCACTGGGCAGAGTTGGAGGAGTTAGTTATTTGGACATGAAACAACAATTTGGAACCTTGTAGTAGTCTAGTGGAAAGAGGTTGTAAGAAGTGTTTATGGTGGATACAAACACGTTAAACGCATCTCTGCTTACAGTGCTGCAATGCAGGACACAGCAGTAGAGCATTTGGCATTTTCTCTTTCTCCTTAACCCTCTCATAAATCTCCCTGTAAGTAGTTTCACTTCTGGCACCAATAAATGGCTCTGATGTCATTCTTTTCTGCTGTCCTTTCTGCTTTATTTTAGAGTCCCAACCCGTTGCTCACTTTCAGTGTTAAGACACACGACCGGATATACTACATGGTTGCTCCTTCGCCAGAAGCCATGAGGATATGGATGGATGTCATTGTTACAGGCGCAGAAGGCTACACCCACTTCATGCTATAAAAAAAAAAAGGAGGGGGACGATAGGGCAGACTGCAATAACATAACGTATGAAGTTGGACATATGTAGTGAAATCTGAAAAGCCGGTGAATATTCTGAAACGCTCCTCCTTATGATGTGCACCTGAAACCTCCAGAATGAGAGGGGTTTACAAACGCATTGAAAAGGGGGAATGTGGGAGGCGATTGTTACTTGTTTTAGTTGATCTTCATAGGAACGAAAGAGCTAAAGCTGTCGAGAGAATCGTAGTGCTCCAAAATGGGTGATCAGGCAATTTCAATTAGAGCATATTGATTCAATGATAATTTTCTATAAATTCTCTTACATGGAGAATGTCTTCATAAACTCACATTAAACAGTTTGCAGATGTGTGTGTTCTCATCAGTATGCAAAAATTCTAGTAATGGAACAAAAGGGTATAATAAGCATATATTTTAATATGCAGCATTTGACATTTATAGATGATTAGGTGACTTTTAAAAACTTTTAGTCAAGTGTTTTATAAAAACATAAGCAAAAAAGCAACCCTAAAGTACACACAGTTTTTGCCTTAGTAGTTAAGCATTACAACAGAGCCAAAGAGTTACACGATTCCCTTATCATAAGGTTTTTATACCTAACTTTCTGTAAGGGCCAAAACTCTTCATGAATTTTAATGTAATTAAACTGTGGTGATATTCTGTGTGTTCAAACACTCAGTGACACCAACTGTATGTTTCAAGTTTGCATCTATGGAGCTCAACACAAAAAAAAAAAAGAGAAGGATAGCTTTATAAAGATGCATTCTTCCACAAGGATATAAAACAAACACATGAATTCACTTCATGAATTCAGTTATTTAATCTCCCCAGTTGAATACAATGAGCTGAGTCTACATCTTACAGCATTTTCTTGTAAGTAGTCAAGGTCCCAGCATGGTTCTAAACCATACTTTGTGCCAAGTGAGCGCTCTACTGAATCTCTCAAATGTTTGTCCTCCTGAAGACAACATCAAAATCTCTACCTGTCTAAGTTCTTTGGAGCAAATTTTTCAGCCTTGGAGTATTTTTATTTAAAAAATGCATATCTGCACAGAATAACGTTGCCAAATAGAATATAGCGAGAAAGGCAAGTTCTCAGCATTTACACTAAGCAGTGTATGAATAAAAAACCCTGATGATTTTAAATAGCAGAGATCGAGATTCCTCAAAACAACAAAAATACCGATGGTGCAGTGGTCTCACACTTAGAAATCATCTCCAAGCCCTTGAGTGATATCACAGAAACATAACTTATTTAATTGAAGTGAACTTCAAGAAAGTCTCTTATAATATGACTTTAAAGAGGTTCTATTTCCATAATTGAAACTTACGTACTATGTGGTTTGTGTAATAGAAGAAGACACATTAGCCTTTTATTTTTCTTCATGAAAAGTTGATGGCTTTTGATGGAGCAAAATAAAAAACTGAATACAGAACAGAAGTATGCTGGCAGAGTATTTTTATTATACTTTTTAAACCCTGTATCTGTAATGAACGGGTTGAATTTTTTGTGGTATACACAGGTGATATGGTTGCTCTAGCAGGACGAGCATCAGGTTCAACTTGAATCAGAAAGGAGGGACTGTTATTGCAAGGTAATTGTTATCATCTGTGCAGATCACAGCTTGTAATCTAATGACTGAAAACCCTATCAGAAATAAATTGCTTTGATTTATATAATTGTTATTATTTTTCCTGATGTATCTTGATTTTACTCCTAAATATGGTTATAAAGGTTTTCTAATAATGAATTTTGTATCCTGCATGATGCAATGAAGGTGTTTCAATAAACATTTTTAAAAAGACACTTGTTTTAAATATTCACTCAGTGCTTCATCGTGAGACATTTGTGCTTTTAAGTAGCTGTATGATGTTGTGCAAGCAATTTTGAGTTACTCTGTAATGCTTAATCTAACCATTCCGTGTGTTTCCCCATAAAAGACCTATGGAGAATAATCTTTCAGATGGCAGTGAAATTAGGAGTGTAGTCTTTTTACTGCATGTACATAATACCTTTCTCAATTTTTATGACTCTATCCAAGGCTGGTGACAAATTTTTCAAATATAGACAAATCTTTTGTTTAACTGCAAGACAGAAATTGCTAATGTTAGAAGGTTTCCCTGTTTTCCCAATATTTCACTTAGACATGACTTGAATTGCAGGAAGCGTTAGCTTACTGTAGAAGCTCATGCCATTTTATGGTTTTTTTCAGTGAGTTTGCTGTCATCATCACAAGTTGTGATGGGTTTTGTGGTGATGGACATCAAGAAAACATAAGCAAAGTATGGTGTTAGGCACCATCTTTTATGATCAGTCTGCAAGCCCTGGAGCCTTACCCCCATGGGAGCAAAGTACCCAGTTACCATAAAATCATTGTGATATGTTTTGAGTTGGAAGGGACTTTTAAAGATCAGCCAGTTCCACCCCCAATGCCATGAGCAGGAACACCTCCCTCTAGACCATGTTGCTCAAAGCCCCATCCAGCCTGGCCTTAAACACTTCCAGGGAGGGGGCTTCCACAACTCCTCTGGGCAACATACATCTTCATCAACACTTCCTGGAGCATTGCACCATTTTCTTCCTTTCTGAGTGTCTGTCACGTACATGGAAGGCACAGCACGTAAAGACCTTGTTTTGGCTACTGTGCTGAAGCCATGGTTTTAGTTGGAGCCACAGTTATAGCCAGAACTGTAGTTTTAGCTGGTATGTAGGAGACTTAATATGCTTGAGCAAGCAAAATGAGTGAGAGAACAGATGTGTGGGACAGAAGTATTCTATAAGAGGAGCTTATCTCCATGGACAGGATGCTCATATCTTCAGAGACAGAATGCCCCAGGACTTCCAAATGCCATTAAGATAGGCAGAACCAGCCTAGGCTAGCTTTGGGGTCTCTTAACAAAGACGAGGAGTTAATTGAATGGAGCTCACCAAAAGGACATTCCGATGAAGACTATCATGATGAAGTAAATGACCACCAGAGACTCCTGACGACCACCAAAAGACTGTATTGCGTGTGCGGGAGTGAGTGGTAACCTATGATAATGAGTTCTCTAAAAATGTTAGTCATTTTTTGGAAATGTCATGAATATGTATGTATAACCTGCATATAAGCTACGCATCTGACTCTCAGTGGCACACGCATTAGGTAGAGGGATCCCCTGTGCGTCCAGCGCTGCAATAAAGAATACCCGCTTAAGACTATTGAGTCTTGACTTACGGCCTTTCATAGCATCAGTGCCCACTCAAACACGGCCTGGTGGAGATGGACACGGAGGTACGAGCTGGTTCAAACACCACGTGGGCCAAGAACCTCCTGGGCCTCGATGGAGAGGTGACCAAGGGAGCAACGGTGCATTTCAAAAGGTCTTGTAAGGCGATTATGTGGATTACATTGTATGCATTGCAAAACGCATAGTTCATGACAGTTTATACCTACATATGCACATATGTATATATGTGCACACGTGTAGGTAACGTGAAGTGCAGGGCTTTCTAGACCGGCTCTTATCTTGTACAGAGAGGCCTTCGAGGAGGTTCCCCTCTCCAGAACGCACAAGGCCCTAGGGAAATGCTCATTAACTCTATCTATTGACAAAAACTTCACTTTTCCCGTAACGCCTCCCCGTGCCACTGACGCCCCTCCCGGCCCCCCTCAC